TATTTATTTATTTATTTATGATTCACAAAAATGGTTATTTTATATCTTTTAAAATAAATGAAATATTCCTACCAAGTGTGGTGACGTAAGTCTGTTTTGGTATGGAATGAGTTTTTGATAAATGTTTCTACCAAGCGTGGTGACGTAAGTCTGTTTTGGTATTGGAACGGGATTTTGGGAAATGTTCCTACCAAGCGTGGTGACGTAAGTCTGTTTTGGTATTGGAACGGGATTTTGGGAAATGTTTCTACCAAGCGTGGTGACTTAGGTCTGTTTTGGTATGAAACCATATTTTGAAACATTCTTACCAAGCGTGGTGACATAAGTCTGTTTTGGTATGGAAGTGAGTTTTAAAAGGTAGTTCCCCCAGACGTGGTGACTTATGTCTGTTCTGGCTTGGAACTGGGGATGAGTACTTTCAGACGTGGTGACTTATGTCTGCTCTGATAAGTAGCTCTGTTAAATTGGAGGAATAAGGGTGGCATATCAAGCAGAGGTGTACTTGGAACAAGGGTGGCATTGTCATATGTGGATGTTATTATTATGACTCTTATTATTATTACTAAATTGGAGTTAATAACTTTGAATCATCATTTCTTTGTGACCTGATGAATTAGAGATATTATTCCTATTTAGAAATAATAATTTAGATGTTATTAAGAAGGGGAAAATGGTTTGTCATATCAGGCAAGTTTTGCCTTAAATCTTTCCTGTTAAAGGAATGGTATTTTCATTCAAAAGTTTTGATACTGGGAAAGATTTATGTTTAGAGATATTTTAAAGAAGTGAGATTTTTGGATATACTTCTTTGGGAACTGCATCAATTGTTATATTGCAGTATCTTTCTAAAGCCAAAATTACATTATCATATTTTGGTATTCATCACCCTGCATTTGCAAATAAGGGATTTACTCACTAGACCCGTATGGTCTAACCCTCATTTTCTGTTTTAAATTATGCAATGCAGGAATWGYTGGRTCCGGGGATATTAAAGGGAAAGGGAAAATGTGATTATTTTCCTAATCTGTTTCCTGCTTTTGAAAGATACATGTTATATTACATGTAATAGTACAAGATTTGTTTTGAAAATTTTTATATGTAGATTTTGTACATATAGTAATCCATGTACTAGTGGGACCTTCTGATGTATTTCATGTTTCTATGTAATAAAATATGTGTTTTATGCAAATGTGGAGTATGGGGGTGTTACAATGCATTGCTATATAATGCTAATTACTTAATTTTCAAATTTACAATTTCTCAATGCTTGTGTACAACTTATTGAAACACCTAAGCGGGTTTAGATAACCTCAATCTTCCATCAAGAACTAACATTCACCCATATCCTTATGAGTCGCTAACCTTCATCCATATCTTGATATCTATCAATTTCAATAGATTTAGAGATGGATATAGATATGATTTCATACTAAAATCCATACATTTTTTTCAAAATTTTACGATACCTTCAAATTTATATTTTATTCAATAAATAAAAACATTATCATTTTTCCAGCACCATATAAAATCGTATTATAACATCGACGGAGACAGAATAAAACAAAACATTAAAATCGAGTTGTATCTCGCTGAATTGCGCGAGTACCCTTCTAGCATAATAATAATAATAATCAATTTTAAAATTCTATTAATTAACATATTATATCAATATTGTTTGTACATTCGACATTACAAGATGTACCTCTTAAAATTTTTATGATACCTATAACTCTTTTTTTTAATACATTAAGTATATAGTATATGTATTTTATCGTATGTTTTTATGTTATTTAATATTATGATTAAATCCAAAAATATTCGATATTGGACTTATTTTGAAGGTATGGACGAGACCATTATAATAATATAGTTTGTAAAAAAAGAAATGTATTTTTAATACATTTTAGTTCATATACAATAATTTATGTTAATATGATAAATGTATAAAAAAGAGGATATAAAGTAAATTAAATGCCTAATTATAAGGGTTTTAGAAATTAAAAATGATTTGATTCTTAATATGTAAGGAGACGTGGGAGGTTGTGGAAGTTTTCAAGTTTGTAAATTTGGCATTACAAACACCTCTTAAAATTTCCAAGATTAGTGTAACTCTCTTTTTTAATACAATAAGTATATAATATATATTTTATCGTATGTATTTATGTTATTTAATAATATGCTTAAATCCAAAAATACTAGATATTTGGTTCATTTTGAATGTATTGACGAGAAAATTATAATTTGTAAAAATAAATAAATGTATTTTTTTAAATGTGTTTTAGTTCATATACAATTATTTTATGTTAATAATGGTATATGTGCAAAATAAAAAAAAATAAAAAAAGTAAGAAATATAGAGTAAATTACATAACTAATTTTAAGTGTATAAAGTGTAATTTAAAAAATAAAAATATTTGAGTTTTAACCGTATGGGACGTCGGATATTCAAGCTTTAAAGTTTATACATTTAGCTTTATAAAATGTATCTTTTAAAACTTTAAAGATAATTGAAACTCGTCTTTTTTTTAATACTAGAAGGGTATTCATGCAGTGCATCGAGACACATTTTCATTTCAATGTTTTATTTTATTTTTTATCCATGTCGATATAATAAAATTTTGTGTGGTTTTGAAAACACGATAATGTTTCTATTTATGAATAAAATATAAATTTGAAAATATCATATAAAATTTACAAAAAATATCAATATTATTATCAAATTAACTATTTAAAAGTTCTTGTTTGTTTATTTTTTGTAATTCAATTTTTTTTATAATTTAATTTAGCAT